AATGTGGGACTTGATATGGTGTAAAGGCAGCTGAGCTACTGTATGGTATTTTGAGCCTTATTCACTGGTAGTCTGCAATGAATGATTCTTAGTATCTCGGAAAACTACGCGTCTCTCGCTCTCTCTGTCTCTGTCTCTAGGTAGCTCATATTATCAGCAAGTAACTGTCGGTCTACAATCAGTCATTTTGGGCAGACTTAAGCGCTACATCAATGAATGTATGAAGTGTTAAATTGTTGATATCAGTCATGCAGAAATTTGCAATCTGCCTCGTTAGGATTCTTCGAATAAAATGCAAACTAATGTCTGGAAACTGTTATGGACATGGTCGAAAATCATTAGCACTTGTAGGAAAGGATTCGCTCCTTCAAATCTTCCAAATTCAAAGAAACCATTACCAACACATTAATATATATATATATATATATATATACATTTATATATCCATTTTAATTCCTCTACATTCGATTTTCCAAAATATGTCAACCTAAATTAATGTGATTTTCTTTAAATTTCTAGGTAGATGATCTAGTTCACAAAACAGACGAATTGTTCCTCAAAGTGTTCAGCCCAACATTCCAGCTGTTGTTCCAGAGAAATTAACACAGATTCATTCTTTTTCGCCTTTCATTCATTTTATCATCAACCATCATTTTCCGAGGTCTTTTTGACAAATTTATTTATGTCAGCTTATTCTGAAGCCACTGATTTTCTCCCTTATATTTGAACAGCCATACTTTTTCCTCAGCAGACTAAAGTTGGTGCCAGATTTCCTCGATGTGATCATTGCTGTCACATCCAGGTGGGTAGGTAGGTCGGTACTGAGTTATCTTCTCCCTGAACACAGACCACATGTTCTTATCAGACACCTAACCACTTAAAGACCCCTTAGTTATTCGATTTCGACACACCCACATATGCAGAGTCCTCTGTTTGATCGAAGATCACCCAATCTCTGAATGATCATCTTTATGGAAAACCAATATTAAGGTGGTCTGTATATGTCCACTGTTCTCTGATTGTTGGTTGTCACTGCGTGAAATAACGTCTCTTCTTATTTCTGAAGTTATTATTGAGCTAGTACAAATTCCCATCTGAAAACACTAGAGGAGATATCAACACTATTTCCGATTCATCAGTATGCGACAACATGAATACCAGCAGTTTACTTTTTCAACTGATTCTGCCTGCCTCTTTTAGCACCAAAATAGTCTGATAAGAGAACTGAATCTAAGACTTTCGCTTTTAGCTTCTGATACAACATCCTTAACTTCATCTAAATTGTAAATCAGATGATATTACGAAAGTGTATCGACAAACATCGTGATTTCTGTGTTATTCTCACGGATCCATTCATTCGGATAGCCCCCAGATGACGTTTCGCTGGAAACCAGTCCAACAGTGAGTATTCTTCACCAGCTTAGCACTATTCCTAGAAAAGTTATGATTTTGATACTTTCATCATCTCTGATAATTTATGTGACCTAAATACTGCCCTAGAAGTTCTTAATAGTTCTCACTCACCGAATCTTCAGTGGAAGTAAAGGTCTGGCAAAGAATCTCCTTCCTGAAAGTTGGTCTAGAAAAGACAACTGATGGGCTATGGAGCAGATCAGTATATAGAATACCGACGTAAACGGTCAGCTGACAAGTGTTTTACAGTTAGGTACCTATAAATCTCAAGTGAAACCTAATAACATATGTTGGGACCAGGATTAACAGAATCTGCACTTCTTAGTCGGTAGGTGAAAAGACTACAGTTCTGAGAGGGACACCTTAATTGAGAATGGCTACCCTCCACTCCTCCCACACACACATGCACTCTGTGGACGAAAGCATAAGACAAGAAAAACCGAATTCGCAGCACAGAAATCACGCTATTTTACAGTTTCTCATCAGCTGCAAACTACCTGAAATTACAATGGTTATGAAAAACGGAAATAACATGTATTAGTGTCCGGTATTTATCATCTAAACCAAGTGTATGGAACACATTATAAACCATCTGTGCCCCGGAGATGCTACAGATGCATCCGGCGTTCCTAGCAAATTATTATTATTAAAGAAAACTCGTTTAAAGTTATCTACAAAGGTGAAAGAAGACTCCCGAGAGTGATATCCCTTCGTTTATACTTTCCATTGCTGAGGCCTTCGTGATTTCGATGGAGAATCCTGATTTATGTACACAGAAGGCGATTTCTCCATCCCTCCCTTTTATCTTGGGTATAATTCCACGTTCAGATGTTTTCTATATATTTTGACACTACCACTACTTTTTGGCATTATGCGTATGACATTTATTAGCACCGACTGCATAGTTTATTTTTTACGTGTCCTCATTATCAGTCATTCACATCCAATTTTTTCTTGACCTTGTTCATATTAAGTAACTTCAGTCTAAAGATAGTTACTAATCTCCACCCTTCCCATTGTCACAATTTCATTATTCTCACTGTTTTCAAATATTCTGATGATGTATAGAGCACTGTAAACTAATTTGTATCCTCATAGAAAAGTATATTCACGTATAATTGCGATTTTACAGGTAGGCGAATGAATTCGCTGATAAGCATCTACTGATTGGAGTTTTTGTTTATGGTAACCCAATTACTCTGAGAGAAATAAAAACCACTCGCCTAAAGAGTACGCACATCCAAGTCGCCTAACCGTTCCATTCAAAGCCAAATACACTGCACCTCAGGAATTGTTCTTCGACCAACTTCACTCTAGATAGTAGTCATATTGTGAGAATTTTAAGTGGGTGAGATATAAACATTTCAGAATTTCTAGAATGTTATAGAAATATCAGTAAGCATGTTGTCTAGAAGAGGTAAGCACAAGAAGTAGTTAGTTATATTCAAACTCTAATTTTTGCAATAAAGGGCTGTCGAATATCTACCTACACTTCATCGACTCCGAAAAGGCCTTCCACAGCGCTCTGACATCAAAGTGATATGGAAACTACTTCACCACTACGGATTGTCACAAATCTTTGTCAGTCTCATTCAGCGACATGTCAGGTGGTCCTCAGTAGAGCATCAAACGAGAGTTTTGAAGTGAACACAGGAGTGAGCTAAGACTGCCTACCGTCATCGATGATATTTCTGATTGTGGTTGACTAAATCATGCTACAGACCGTGAGGAGCAAGAAAACAGGGTTACTTCAGGCCATCTGGAAGACTGAGCAAAGATTGAAATTTGAAGATGACTTATGTCTTACGTCATGTAAACTGGAAGATCTACAGGCGAGAACCAAGAAATCAGCAGAAATGGCCGGCATCTAAGACAGGAATTCAAGCGAACATAGAGGAGATACAGGTATAATGGAGATAGCCAGTCAGCAACAACTCGTATCGATAACTTCCGACAGAAGTCATTCGAATGCAGTCACTTGATCTGTTTGTTAGGGCAGCACCATTTCAACTACAGGTGGCGTGGATGATTTCAACGATAGAGTCAAGAAGGCAAAACAGACATTGAAAAATATGAAATCAGTGTGTGAATCTGCTGCACTCAGCGTGAATAAGAAGATTCGGATTCTCAACACTAATGTGAAGGCATTCAGTGAATCTTTGTGGGTCAGAGTGTTGGTGCGCGTGTTACCAAAAGCATTTCCAGCAGTATACTGAATATTTTCATCAATATCTGTCTTCGTCTCATAATGAAGATCATATGGCCGGTAGGAAGGGAATAGAATAAAAAACAATTAACTGTGAGAAAGAACCAACGAAGCGTCAATAGCCCGATAAATATGCAGACGAAATAAAGATGAATAGGACACAAGCTGAAATCATAGTTGATTGACATCGTGAGCCAGACAGAGACTCGAATTTGAGTCGAGTGGATAGTGATGAGATGAGCATGGGTTTGAGTGTGACACGGAGAAGATGACAGTTAGTAGGCAGTTGCGAAACCGGGTAAAGAAGACAACAGATAACAGAATGAAGTGATGATATGCAATTGAAGCTGCGGATTCCACCTGGATCCCCGAGAGAATAACAATAATAATAATAATCCATTTTAGGAATTTCATCATGAGCTGACATTAGTTAGAGAACCATTGGAAAACCTGGGAGTACTGGACAGCTGTTTCGTCCTAGTTTGGGACTCTTCAGCAGAACGCACCCACCGGGATTCGAACCCACGACCTTCCGGTTGCAAGGCGAGCTCGTATACCGTTAAGCCACTGGGACCCAATCCAATGGTCCTTGAATTCTAACTTCTGCCAATTCACGACATAGCGCAACCGCTAGCCAATGTCTTCGGCGAGTATTTGTCCTTACACCCGACCGGCGGCACCCTACTGGTCACGACTTCCCACTGGAACCCAGGTAACTACCTACCTGAATAGGGCCAGTCGCCAGTGAGCATCTCATTGGTATTCAAGTGGTGGTTTGTAGGGATTTGATTGGTTTCAGGATTTCATCATGAGCTGACATTAGTTAGAGAACCATTGGAAAACCTGGGAGTACTGAACAGCTGTTTCGTCCTAGTTTGGGACTCTTCAGCGTACTGCCTTGTAACCGGAAGGTCCTGGGTTCGAATCCCGGTGGGTGCGTTCTGCTGAAGAGTCCCAAACTAGGACGAAACAGCTGTCCAGTACTCTCAGGTTTTCCAATGGTTCTCTAACTAATGTCAGCTCATGATGAAATCCTGAAACCAATCAAATCCCTACAAACCACCACTTGAATCCATTTTCGCTTAAACGTTGGTATGTTTCATTCGTATCATTCGCCCCCACCTAATTCATCGTTGTCATATGATTTCTTATTGAATTTTCAACGATGACAAACAACCAACTGCGGTAGGTGAGATTGTTCATTAACTTGCCTGAACTCCCTCTAGATCAGTGCGCACATCTCTTCAGAAGACTATTGATGACAGGAGATCAAAATAGATAAAAGTAGTGGGCAGTTTTTAATGCTGTTGAACACACACATTTATATTTGTGGTGTAACACGCAGACACATAAACACAGAGTTTATCTAAAGGTGTACACGGTAGAAATAGCCTAATCCTGTAACTACTAAATAAACAATAAATGCAACCAATGATAAAATATGAGGTTGACTAGCACTTGTGTAAATTATCCACTTTCATCTTTTACATTAAATAGAAAAAGAAAAAAAAGAAAAGAAGCAGTACAGTCAGTTCTATGGTATTTCAATACGAATTTAAACTAAATTTACTCCATCGACTCTTGACTGGTTGGTTATTCATCACTGTTCTTTCACTATGACAGCACATGGTGGTTGTTAGTCAGCCTTCTTCTTTCATGTCATATCATATAAACACGTTGTTCAGCCTGACACCTCTAATCAACATCTGCTGATTCCGTATGATGGTGGTCGACAGTGATTACGGTAGCATCGTAAGCTGCTGACGCTCTTCTATGACCTGCATATCTTAACTGTTTTAGTGTAGGATTCCGTGATAGATCTAATTTCGGCTTTGGTAGGTCAGCTGAAGGATGAGTAAAACGTCGCCATATACCAGGATGACCTTCTTCTTCTTTTTCTTTACACTTTGGACTGAGACTGGCTTTCTTCAACGCATGTTTATACCATAACTTTTCAATAAGCAGGACGAATAAACTGACCACAATAAATACAGACAAGACTATAAATGCACCAGATACATTACGAAGTGTTACTGCATTGTACGAGGCTGTGTTAGCAACGATTTTCGACTTTTCTACATCTCATTTTTCAAGTAAGTGATCGATTACTCCTCTTTCTCTTAGTGTCGACATGCTGAGTGATTAAAAGTTTTAGAAAAGAAAGAGAAAAAAGAAAATAATGAAAAAGCATCACTAAAAGCCAACAAACAGATGGATAAGTTAAACGCGTATAATTAATTAATGAATTATGGAAGGCGTGAACCGAGTCTAAAATTGTCATCTTTCCTCTCAACAATATGATTATAGTTTCTTTTTTGCATAGCATTAGAATGTGAAATCCCTTAAAATGCCCATAGAATAGCATCACAGTTGTCCGGCTTCTGATGCATATTGAAAGGCACATTGATTTAGCTATCCGTTAATTCATTTACGAACTAAATATTTAACATAAATTTAGTTCTGTTACTGTGAGGATGTAAATTAATTTCTTATCTGAGAACTGAGCAATGGTATATATTATGCGAATTATATTCAGTTATGGAAAAATAACTGATGATACAGTGCATCAGATTGGTGTCATCGATGTATCTATTCATTGATCTGCCTGTAATTATAGAGTTTATTACAGGAAAAATGTGTTGGACTGTTAAAGACAGTCATCAGGAAACCTTGGACTTAAGTTTCACGCTTCCTACCACTTGTCAGTAATGTATATCTGTTATCTTTGAAGAAATCTTGTCGTCTCTGAGGTTCGAATCTGTATAGCTCAGTATTTCAATCAGGGACGTTACCACAGAGCCACTGTGGATCAGGACAGATACACTCTCAGGTTACTAGAGTGCGAACAATGCCATCCATTTGAATCCTCAGGAAAGAAACCATACTACTTACTCCACTTACCTTAATCCTGAAAAATGTTTCTAACATAAGAATGAACATCCAGTCAGCCAACTTTCTGTCGAAATAAAATAGATACACATGGAATCTTAAATCAAGGAAGGATATAAACAAAATCAAAAATAGAGGAACATTCTTATGAGTAAGTAGTAGTAGTAGTAGCTTACAAGTTCAACATTAAGCTGGCATACTCTTCGTCTAATCTAACAGCAAATGAAAGTGGTATGACAATGTCTTTCACTTCAATAACATCCAAGGTATCCGTTTCATCATATGGATAATGCAGTAATGATATCCTGTTACCCAAGAACACATTCGATGTACTATTGCGTACAAACTCCACACTTTGATTCAGTGACGTAATATCAACACCATTCTTGGTGATTTTTTCATATATCTTTGTGTAAACTGGATTTCCGATTCCACGCTGTAAAAAGTCACAGTTGAAAAACAATGGAATGTATGTGTTAACTATAAATCTCTGTAGAGGAGAAGGTTTCTGAAAGAAAACAGTGGTCCAACTCACGTGTCAGGGCAGCTGAAAGTATGCGTAACACAACCGTTTAATGAATGAAAAGGTATCCAGTTCTCAGTGTTGATTAAAAGTGATTAGGTGAACAAAAGTTATGGCAAGTACACTGGTTTAAACAGACTCTGTGATACACATCTGCTTGTCCATGGATGTACGTGAAGTGGATATGTTCTAACCTGAGTAAACTTTAGGCGTCTTATCACTAAGCCACTCAATATACGCCTGAATCTGTAGAAAAATGAAATATTCACACTCTGATGTGTTTGTTACTGGATGCTACACGGTAATGCAATCAGACAACGGTGCTTATTATCACCAATGATACTCCTAATTGTGGTGGACTGGATTATGCGTCAGACAGTGAGAAACGAGAAGACAGGGATATCCTGGACCGACGTTAACAACCTAGTAGACCTAGATTTTGCGCGTGGATGGTTTATGTTTCATTTCACACAAAATGGAAGACTTACAAGCCAAAACCGACAAAGTGGTCGAAGAAGCAGCCGGCGAAGACAGTACTCCAAGGGAACATAGACAAGACGGAGGTTATGAGAATAACCAGCCAACAACAACAGCAGCAGCAACATCCAGCGTCAATCACCATCAACGGAAGGGATTTGAAAGAGGTTACTTCATTCACTTATCAAGGGAGCATTGTCTCAACTACAGGAACGAAGGAACGGACGAGGATGTCAAATCGAGCGAGAATCGGGAAGGCAAGAAACACATTCATCAACCTGAAAACAATCTGAAAATCTTCGTCACTCAGCATCAATAACAAAATTCGGATTTTCAGTACAAACGTCAAGACAGTCAGTTCTATACGGATCAGAAACTTGGGGGGCGGGTCACAAAGAATATTTCCAAAAGGTTGCAGACCTTCATCATCTCTATACTGAAGATCAGATGGCCGGGCCGGAAAGAATCACCAACAAGAAACTGTGGGAACAAACGAAACAAGAAACATTCGCCAATCAACAAATATACAGGAAATGGAAAGTGGAGATGGATTGGACACTCGTGGCTGAGGAGACCTTTGGGTGACATCGCGCGTCAGGCCATTGCTCGACTGGGACTCGAAAGGGAAGCGGCGAGTGAGACGTTAGTGCGAGGATGACATGGAGGAGATCGTATGAAGAGGAGTTGAAACAGTGTGGACTAACATGTATGCAGGTGAAAAGTACAGCAGAAGACAGAAGCAAATGGAGACGTGCAGTTGAAGCCCTATGTTCCACTAGGAACCCAAGGGAACAATAAATAGGTAAAAAACCTTGGTAATTAAATTTTATTTGTTTCAGTCTGCTCCTCAGTTGACAGGTCACATGACTATTGTACCCGATAGACAACAATAAGCTCTAAAGAAGTGAAAAGGTGAGCAATCGACTACTTATTGGAATTTACTTAAAGATGCATTTTATAGAGAAGTTGCATCTTGGTTTGTTGGATGTCATTTCTTCCTAGTGACCAAATGCTAAGCAGACTCGGCTTGGTTGTCTAAAGGCCTTCGTATCTATCCCTGTTAGATCCATTTGAATGTACTTATGAAGGACTTAATACTAAGAGAAAATGGCCGGTCATTACCTCTTGGTTTTTGTACACTGTTGGTTTAATAAAAGAATGTTCATCAGCCACATAGGAGATCAAATTTTAATTTCCAACCTACACACCGCTAAGATTCGTGAAGATTCTGCCTATACAAATACACTCTCATATCCTTAATAATAAAGCCAAAAATAGTCACTCTGTGTTACAATATACAGGTGATTAACCAATAGAATCAGGATGATGCATTTCATTATCATGTGTGCTTCTTATCATGTTAGCGGCTTTGACTAACTGACTGACGCACTAATCATTTCGTGTTTCCTTGTATTTATTAACAAATCAATATAGATAAATACCTCCAAGCATGTAATGTGATGAATTCGGATTACAATGTCTCCCCTAATAAGCTTCAGAACAGTCTAAGATGTACAAGCGGAAAGACACAAGCTGCCAGAACAGGCTGACAGTACAAAATGTCAGGTGAACACAGACAGGGAGCAGATATGCTAAAGATACCCACTTAACCAACCCGAATTACTGTCAATAGGAGAAATCTAAACGATATCATTTCAGCCACAAGAAGAACGAATGAGGATGTCAAAACCAGTTGAGATAGTATTGGTAAGGGAAGACAGCTGTTCATTTACTCACAAATCAGTGGGGAGAACAAGTGTATGGAATAACACCCTAATTTTCAATAATAATTTTAAGTGGATTCTTGTATATACTTCAGAGAATTGGCACACATGTTGCCATAAGGATTCACAACAGTCTGTAGACTTTAGTCAACACCTATATTGTCTGGATACTGAAGAATAGATGGCCGACGAGAAGCGATAAGCCCCAAGGGGTTCTCACAACCAAGCCAACGGGCGACGACCCATTATTCTCCAACCAATAAATGTGCACAAGAAACCCAAGATGGATTGGACACACATACATTTATGAGAGCTTGGAGTGACACCACACGTTAAACAGGCCATCAAGTGGAACACGAATGAGAAGTGGCACGATGATTTTGAGAGTGTAACGGGGAGATGGATAGATGATGTGAAGAGAAAATGATGAAACGTGATGGGTATCGGAAGAGTCAGGTGAAAGTGAATCCCTGGTCAAATCCCTGGACTCCACTCCTCAGAACATGTGCAAGGAGTAATATACCACTCACTAATAGGCTTTAATCGCAATAAATTCTGAAAAAACTTTAACTACGAAATTCACAATATCAGAATGCAGACAAACCTCGAATATTTTCTTCAATCCACTGTTTTCTCTGGCAGCCACTGTATATCCTGAATTCGCAAGATCATCCAAAGACGAAACAGGAATTTGTACAACATTTTTGGTTAAAAATGCTGTCAAATCAGCCTGCCATGTGGCTTGAATTACCAGAACTAGAAGCCAGTAGAGAAGTGTGACTGTCCTTGCAGAGCCAGCGATGGCTCGTAGTTCTTGTCCTGTGGAAGAAAGAAAGCTCATTTGGTTTATTTCAAATCTAATCTTCATCTCCTTTACCATACGGTACAGATTATCTCTATAATGCACTGAATAAAAGAACTTCACTTACTCGTTGACTCTTCTAATGCGGTGGTAGTTGACAATGATTCTCCACAACAGTTTATGCATTTTAGAACAAAATGTACTCAAAAATGTAGATGCTCAGGTTGAACTATATATGCAGCAGTCAGTTGGTAAAGAAACAAAAAAGACACAAGAGCAAAAGGAATGGGTAAATAAATCGCTTGTGTATATACATTTCAGAGTATTTTCTTGTGTTTGTCCAGTTCCCTTTACCACCGAGGCCTTGAACTATTTTCTCATCTTTTAGAATAATCTTTACATGTAACCCATTCATTGTATTCATTGCTTCTCCCTCTTCTTTCCCTTCAAACTTCTAACTTTGAAATAGCCTTAACACGTAATCTAAACTTCTTAGTCTTACGAACAGTCTTTTTGGTTGTAGTTCTTAGTCGTAATAATTTCCTCGTTATATTCATCACATAATTTTTTCAGGTTACGTAATACTACCTGACTAAATATACAGGAGAAGATTTGTAGCCTGGGTGGATGATTGTGATGTAGTTGTGTTCTCTGGTCAGTGACCTTCAAGGTGACTGGTTGTTATGTATGTTTATACATCTAGTCTACTTGTTTTGCTACTGATTGTTTCCTTGACCTGAAGTTTGACCCTTTGTGTATGAGATATCCTTCTTATCGATTGGTGAATTTTGTCTGTGTCAAAGTGTTCATCAATTCACGATTCGCTGGGATAGCGGCATCCTCGGTGTTTCTTCTGTGTAATATTTGAACATTGGTTATCCCAGTGGAATAGATATCCGTGGTTTTCTGTATGCAGAAGGCGATGTGAGTAAGGAAGTGTATGTCATGTCTTTTGGTGGCTAGTTTGTGTTCATGTATAGGAAGATGGAGAGGACGTCCACTTTGGCCAGTGTGGTGTTTATTCGTAGTCGTTGCAGTCATTTGATAGATGATGTTGGCTTTATCTTCTTTCACTGATGAGTCTTTTGGTTGACAAAGAGCCAGCTGATTGGAGTAATTTTGTTGGTTTGTGTACAACATAAATTCCAGGAGAGATGACTTATAAACTCGTGTAGAAATCTACAAGCTCACTTCAACAAATTGAAGTGTATGCGCTGAAGATGTTGTCTAGTAAGTAGGGCAATGAAAGCTTTGCAAATAAACCATCCAGCTCAGAGGACACAACCGCATCGAAACTGCTTAACTAAATTCCTTGATTTGTTCATTATTACTTTTTCTGATATGTAATTTCACATGGTTTGTTACCAATTGATATTAACAGTTGACCTTGATAGAGATTTCCAGAACCCTTTAGAACACTCTGTAGATGTACAGCTTTGGAGTGAAATTACGAAAATAAGATTTAAGGCTAACCGACGCCTTTGTTATTTATTTTTCATGGATAATTCCCATTGTAACAAAAAGAAAATCAAAACAAGTGGTGATCCATTCAGCGAAGAGAGTCTTTTCAACAACGAATTTATCATCAAGCTGTGCAATCATACAAATATATATGGTTTCCTTTAAGACGTTATATCCGATGAGGGAATTAAATCATAGGTCTGAGTGAATGCACATATGCGAATATATTGAAGACAACAAACTGAATATAGCGATACCCACTACAGATCTGAAGGAACTACTTTTCAGATGTACATTGAATGTACAGTTTAATTTCAATGAAACAATCTACAGACAGAAGAATGGTATTGCAATGGGTTCTCCCTTGGATCTTCTCCTTGCAGACTATTTTATGTCCAGCCTAGAAAATTTTCAGTTGATGCCTACAATCCAAAGCTTTGAAATGTATAAAAGGTGTGTAGATGACACCTTCATTATTTGTAATAGTGATTGTAATTTGAATAATACATTAAATGCATTTAATGGTTGCCATCCAGCGACAAAATCACACTCAAAATGGAGAACGAGTCTAGTATTCATTTCCTCGATATGTACTAATCAAGGAGGAATGACGGAACTCTGGAGACGTCGTTTAATCGAAAGGTAACATGGAATATTCAACTGACAAATTTCTACAGCTGGGTACCGACTGATTGAAAACGAAACCTGCTTTGGTCGCTTGCCACTCACATTCAGCACATATGTAGCCCTGATACTGTGGAGGATGAGTTATATCTTTTGAGGAAAATCCTAGTAGAAAATGGATTTCCACCACGTTTTATAGACAAGAATATACAGTCAAGTCCTATAAAACGTGACATATCATCCGGACCCAAGAAACCACTGTACACGAACTTGGAATTCAAAGATGACATAGCTTCCGATATCATGAAAAGAGGGATATCACAGTCCCTGAAAAGAACATTCCAATTTTCCATTTTTTCATTTTGTCTATTCAATTTGTATACTCATCCTCTATTACAATGTCAATTGTTACCACTATTATTATTCTCACTTTGAACTGTCCTCGGTATTATTTCACTTGTTCCACTTGTCATTCTAAATCAATTCTTTTTTACAACGTTACATTTCTATGCTATCGAATTTCACACCATATTACGTAACGTTTTTATTTTATTCTATTTGTCTACTAATCGTATAATTGCACACCTTATCCTATGAATATTCTATATATTCAGCGAAGAGACTCTTTTCAACGAATTTATTATCAAGCTGTCACTCGGTCAACCCTGACCATGATTTCATGATCATATATAGAGTCCATGCTAACTTCCAGTGTTTTCTTCATTACAGACTTTTAAAGACAGCTGAGACCTTGGTAATTCATGACAATAAGCCCGACTTTTGTGTACAAAAGCAGTATGTACAATCCCTACTTCTGCCTTGGCCGTAGAGGGATAGACATTTATTTATTTTGTTTATTTAGTTATTCTAGGTACCTTTCCCTTATCACTACGATTATTATTATTATTACTGTTTTTACCCTGAATCTTTTCCACTTGACCCACTTGTCATTTTAAACCCAAAATTATTGATTTTTATATCTTTTTATTTTTACAATATTGAATTCTCTCGTATCAAATTTCACACCATGTTATGTTACATTTTATATTCGTCTACTAATCTTAAGATTATGTATAACTTTCCAAAATCTATACACCTTATGTATTATTCTAGATATAACATTAATCATTTTGCCACTTGGCATTTAACTATGATTATGATCACAAATATTTTAGTTTTAATTGCATTTCATACTACTAATATTGTTATCATTTTATGAATACACTCAGACCTCTGATTCAATTCCCTCACCGGATATAACCTCTTAAAGAAAACCACATATTTTTGTACGATTGTACAGCTTGATGATAAATTCTTTGTTGAAAAGAGTCTCTTCGCTGAATCGATCGCTTGTTTCGATTTTCTATTTGATATTTATATCAAAATGGTATTTTTCAAATAATAATAATAAGGTGTAGGGTAAACATTTGTCCACCAAACTATACCACTGCTTTCTTTCTAAGAGAGTAGGACCTGATTAATTTTCTTAAACATTGACTAACCAACCTTGCATAAGCATACCACCGACTGTAAACCAGATACTGTGGTAGATTGAAACTTCATCCGATGTTGCTCCAGGTAAGGCTAAATTCCAGGCACTAAACGGACTGATAATGCTGAATAGCGTAATTGCCAAGGCTGCAATGAATACTGAAGCAATCAAGCACAGCCAGATATCATAACGAAAAGGCAGGAACATTTGAAACAGTTCTTCGTTTTGATCAGGAACTTTAATCAGAATACCCATTGTATCTTCCATAAACGGGCCGACATAATACACGTATCCTGATCGTTCATCGTTGACAGTTAGTGGAGCTGCTATAATATCAGTTCTCTAAACAACCAATGATAAATATGTAGAAAAGAGCAAGAAGCATATTAGGTGGTATTTGTGTTGAATAAAACTCTATGTCAATCTGTGTGATCCGGCTTGAAATGAATCTTGAAAATCAGTCTCATGCTTTGATGACGGCGAATGACGACAGGAGGAAGTTATATGAAGCTCGAGTAAAAAATTGTGACTATTGGCTTCCATCAGGTCAGACGTAGGACAAAACCTTGCAAGCAACACTGTCTGGAAGTTACACTAGAATCGCTAGTTGACAGAATTTGGCGTTCGCGTGTCAGTGAACTCCGGCTAATGTAGTTGAATGGTCAAAGAGCTTGGCGTACAATTCTAATGTCCCGGATTCGATCCCCTGTAATGTCATGGATGTGTATTGTTGAGGAGTCGCAAACTAGAACGAACCAGTGCTAATCAGCACTCCCTGGTTTCCAAAGGTTATCTCTCTAATCGGTATCAACCCATGGGCAAATTTAAGATGAATCAAACCCTTACAAACAATCTCTTTACGATTTTTTAAGGAAACTGTGTACACGGAGTAATCAGAAATTCTTGGAAGCTAAGAACTCATATTCCGATGGTATCTCATCTTATCCGCAGTACCACAAGATATGTCAATGCGAGTTAAACACCATTTGCTATACTAGCACTGTTGTGTTAAATATTTTATACAATGTAGGTGGAATGATGATCTGCCTTATCCCAGGATTCAAGCTTCTTAGTCAGCTTCTGAGTCTCTAGTTCTCTAGCTGTCTAGGTTTACACTATACAGCTCTCAGCTATAACACATTCGATCAACAGCAGTCTACCTATTCAAAAGACTATTTCAAGAAGATGGTCAAGATGACTGTTAATAATGACTAAATTTAAAAATGGGGTGACTTTCTTAAATGAGTAGACTTCAAATATATACCTTGGCCAGTAATTCACCAATCATTCCACTCCATGTTGTGTTTGATATTTTCGCTCCATATTCTCCATCCGGTGGGAGGAAAAGTCGATAGCTGGAATGAATCGTGAGTCAAGTAGTTAGTAAGTATAAAGAAAGAATATTCTGAAAGTTTTTATTTTGAATTGTAACTGTTTGTTATCTATTTACTTAAAACGCCTTTTTTGAATATCCCTTTCAGTTTAGTGTTTCATATATGTGTGCATGTTGACTGTTTTAGCAAACTTGTATACGAACACCACGTGAATTGAAGGGGCAGTAAGATTCTCCTAACCACTGGTTTCACACAGTAGTATGATGCTAGGCGTTGAAATAATTTATTTTTGAGTGTTTTTAGAGTCCTCTGAGAGGTGGTTTTCTATAAGCACAGCCAATGAGCACGTGACAGTCATAGTAAGCTAGATAGAACTGACATTTGATTGGTAGATAGATAGTCATTATGGTTATCTATTGCAACTAGCAATCGGTGGAATACTCGCCAACCACAAAGGTGGTCCGCAGTTTGATCGTCAGCCGACGACGCACTCTCAAACGTCACTTAATCGAAAGTAGGCCGAGTAAAGAGGGAAAGTTGGGTGTGCGGAGAGCAAAATCACTCCGTGAAATGTACATCACTACTACTACTACTGATAGGACTTCAGAGTTCAAGCTTTAAATCCCAACGGTCGACAGAAAAATCTAATAAACACTGTTAGTTTGTAAGTCAATGTGGCAACTCAAGAAGGTTAAAGTTCATCAAATAGGAAACTTTCTCAATGACCTGAGCTCACTAGTGTGTATGACTAATCAGTGTAATGAAAGTGCTATGGTTACCAAGGGAGTGAGAGATTGACTACACACACACTCTCTATCTTTGTATAAGTTTTGTCTGAGACGTTTGATTGCTGTAACTGTTTCAGCAAATCGTAGTCAATTCGCTGTCCTTTTTATCTTTAATATTTTGAAGGATTTGAAAATCTCGATAAAATGACCCGTATCCATAGGGTGGGTGTCTCGTAATTGCACTTTGTAAATATCTGCTTCCTTTTAGGCATACTTTCTCGGAATATGCTCTTAAAATGGATAGA